TGGAGGCACCAGGAAGAGATGGAGGCACCTGGAAAAGCTGGAGGCGCCTGGAAGAGCTGGAGGCGCCTGGAAGAGCTGGAGGCGCCTGGAAGAGCTGGAGGCGCCTGGAAGAGCTGGAGGCGCCTGGAAGACTTGGAAGAGTTGGAGGCACCTGGAAGAGCTGGAGGCACCTAGAAGACCTGGAAGAGTTGGAGGCGTGAAGAAGAGATGGAGGCACCAAGAAGAGCTGGAGGCGCCTGGAAGACTTTAGAGGTGCCTGGAAGACTTGAAGACAACCAGGAAGACTTGAAGACAACCGGGAAGAGTTGGAGGTGCCAGGAAGACTTTGGAGGTGCCTGGAAGAGCTGGGGGCGCCAAGAAGACCTGGAGGCGCCAAGAAGAGCTGGAGGCGCCTGGAAGACTTTGGAGGTGCCTGGAAGAGCTGGAGGCTCCATGGAAGACTTGGAGGCTCCATGGAAGAGCTGGAGGTGCCAAGAAGACTCGGAGGCGCCTGGAAGACTTGGAGGTGCCTGGAAGGGGGTGAGGTTGGAGGAAGCTTTGGAGGCTCCAGGAAGAGTTGGAGACACATTCTGGGAAGGCCCAGAGGTTCCAGGAAGTCTCTGGGACTCTGGAGGGTTTTGGAGGCTCCAGGAAGATTGGAATGCGCCTTCCAGAAAGGTCTAGAAGTTCTACAAGATCTCTGGGACTCTGGAAGGTTTTGGAGGCTCCAGGAAGGCCCAGAGGTTCCAGAAAGTCTCTGGGATTCTGGAGGATTTTGGAGGCTCCAGGAAGACTTGGAGGTGACTTCTGGGAAGGTCCAGAAGTTCCAGAAAGTCTCTGGGACTCTGGAAGGTTTTGGAGGCCCTTGAAATCTTTGGAGGCCCCGGAAACCTTTGGATGTTCCGAGAAACTTGGATGATTCTGGAAAGCTTCGGAGGCTCCTAAAAGCCCCACGGACTCGGGCAAACTTTGGAAGCCTCTTCTAGGAAATCCGGGATTCCAGAATGTCTTTGAGGCTCCAAAAAGCTTTGGAAGCTCCAACAACCTCTGCATGTTCTGGACAACTTCAGAGCCTTCTAAAATCCCAAGCGATTCCGTAAAACCCCGGAGGCTCCAGAAAGTTTAGGATGCTCTGGAAAGCGTTGGAGATTTCAGACCCCTTCGGAGGCTCCCAACAGCCTCCGAGAGTCCAGGACAACTTGGGAGGCTCCTTCCAAAAAGCCTCTGAGATTCCCAATAGCCTCTGAGGCTCTGGAAAAGTGTTGGAGACTCTGGAAAGCCTCCGAGGCTCCGGAAGGATCTAGAAAGCCTAGGAGAGCCCAGAAAGSTCGGGAAGCTCTGGAAAACTCTGGATGCTCTGGAAAGTGTGGAAGATTCTGGAATGTTTCAGAGGCTCCAAAGAGTCTCAGATTCTCCAGGAAACTTTGGAGGCTCTGGAAAAACTTGTGAGGCTTCAGCAAGCCACAGAGACAAAAGCCTTGGAGATCCAGGAAATCTATGGAGGCCCTGGAAAGCCTTGGAGGCTCCGGAAAGCCTTGGATGCCCCAGGAATCTATGGAGGCTCCGGAAAGCCTTGGAGGCCTCGGAAAGCCTTAGAGGTCCCATAAATGTATGGAGGCCCCGGAAAGCCTTGGAGGCTCCAGAAATCTACGGGGGGTTCCAGAAATCTATGGAGGCTCCAGAAAGCCTTGGAACCTCTGGAAAGCCCTGGAGGTCCCAGATTCTATGGATGTCCCAGAAATCTATGGAGGCTCCGGAAAGCTTTGGAGGCCCCGGAATGTTTCAAAGGCTCCGGGAAGCCTCAGAGACTCTGGGAAAGCTCCAGAGGCTCTGGAAGAGCTCAAAGATTCCGGAAAGCTTCGGAGGTCCTAGAAAACCGTGGAGGCTCCGGAAGCCTCAGAGACTCCGGGAAAACTCCGGAGGCTCCCGAAGAGCTCAAAACATCCTGGAAAGCTTCGGAGGCCCTGGAAAACCGTGGAGGCTCCAGAAAA